TGTTATTCACAAGCAGTGGTTTCAGTGAGTGGGAGACAGTTCAGAAATTTACTTGGGCAGAAATTAATCCTGTGGATTAAAAATAGAAGTAAAAACAAGCAAAACATCAAAAAAAAAAAAACAATCCACAAAAAAACTTCAGGAATGTCCATCATTATAGTCTATATAGAGGCCATTAAAATTCATCAGTTTCAAAGCCGACATGACAGATAAAAGCCATGGCTTTTCTCTCCATTAAATTTTATTTCATTTACCTAGAAATTTATCTGTCAAAACATCATTTCCCATTTCTTCCAGTATAAGAGATTCTTTTAGCTGGCTATCAAATTATTTTCAAAGTAGAAAAAGCAGAACAATCAAATTCACAGACATAATGGGGGTCTGCAGTACCAAATAAGGAATGCTAACTTCATGTAGAGAAAAAGAAGAAAAAAGATTCAGCAAAAGAAATGTGAAGTGGCGAAAGCAGCTGAAGAGAGAATTTAATGGCAACATATTCCATTGGTGAACAAAAATGTAGGTTGATAATTTAAAATGTGGGTCATGGTGTCCAATGATTAATTAAAAAAAAAAAAAAAAAAAAAAACACATAAAAATTCAGTTGTTTTGTGACTTGCCTTTTCTTCATGCAGGGTTCCTGTGATAATTTTACCTATTTTATATCACAGTAACTCAAAAAGCTATATGCACAGGTACACAGACAAACACTGTTAATAAGATCAAACTTCCTAACACAAACCAGGACAGAATGAGCAGTCAATAATTTGTGATGTAATTTATGACTGGAAAGCAAGCATGTTTTACTTAATGGGGTGAATGTCTCTTTATTAACTTACTACTAAATTACGTACTGAACTAATAGCATTGACAGAGGCCTGTAAACAGTACAGATTTGAATCAGTGTTTTGTGGCAGTACAGTAATTATAATAACATCCTGAACAAGCTTTATGCCTTTTCAAGGCACACAGACCTGGTACTGATAAGCTTAATACAAGATCTAAAGTTAACAAACAGGAATTTTAGCAGTGAATCACAGAGCAGACAGACTTCTGTTTTGATACAATGATGGTGAAATACAGCCAGTTTCCCTGAGCCGGATTAGAGACATGGCACGTTTCTTCCTTTCTTCTTTCCTTTGAGTTTCTCAGGCAAACTGCATATAATAGCTATACCAGTGTGCTTCTTAATTCTAATTGTAAAGCTTTGAATGAACAGTATGAACTTGTAGTGTTTCCTCCCTGGTTCCTCTTTAGTGAGACACAGAAATACTAAAAAGGAAAAAACAGTCTGATCAGAATGCAATCTTTGCCTTTCAATTCATTTTTCTCAGTGTTATTTTTGTGAACACGATATCCATGAGAAATCTTATCTTCAGAGTTCCTCTCTCTTACTACATAGATCTAGGTGAATTTATAATCCTTTGACACATCACAGTGGGTTAGTTGATAACTGAAGAGAATATAAATCTAATTTGTTCAAAACCTTTGCTGGTAGGCATTTAACAAAAGCCCGTAAGGCACAGAAATAGGAGAGAGGGAATCACTATTCTATTCCAAGCTTTCTGCCTGACTTACTAGATAACTGAGGGCAAGTTATTTAGACTCTTGTCTCCTCCAATTAGCATGTGTGTTATTTTCCTTTTCCAACACCGGATCACTTTGAGAGCAGGGGAAAAACTTCACTGCGGCTGACTATTATGATGCTGGTAGAACAAGGCAGCATGCCTTAAAAATGCTGCATTTACATAACCCTAAAGTTGCTGACAACCAGTAAAGTAATACCAGGAAAGATGCGTTTGCAAAGGAAAGACAAATATTGCACACCTTTAATAGTTTTTAAGCTATAAAATTTTGATGGCTGGGGCACATGTGCTGATTCTAATTAACCTGCCAATGATAACTGGCAGTAGATGCAGTTTGCTCTGTGTGGTTCAGTAAGTTCTCCTTACAAATAATCACACTACCAAGAAAATAAGGTTGATAGGTTCACAAGTGGAAAGAAACTTGAAACCAGTTTCCTAGAAGAAAGAATGAATGAAATAGCTACAGGTCCAGGCAGCTTACCAGGGCAATGTGCCTTCAGGCACAACCACTTTCTTCCTTTTGACTCACTTTTCACATCAGCCCTCTTTCCTACTGAGTGCAGCTCAAGCTCAAGTACCAAAATAAACCTTGGACATTAACCATTTAAATTCAAAGCTGTCAGTCCTGTAAATAAACAGGAATTGTTCATTTATGGAAGGAATGCTCACATTCCTGTAAATAAACTCTTTGGTATAAGTCACATACACAGTAACAATCAGATTTTTGAATCACAGGTAGGATTCCTAGGACTACAGAATTGTTACAGATGCTGTTAGAAACATGGCTTATCGCATTTCTTGGTGGATATACTGTACATCACTGAGCTGATGATCCTATTGGGTGGCCCTTGCTGATATGTACACTTATCATGTATATCAGTGAAGACAGCCCCAGGATATCTAGGCTTATTGACAAAGGTCAATGATACATACGCTTCCAGGTGGTTCTTAAAACATGACAGGATTTTTTCCTTGCTAACATCAGAGGAGATGATTCTAGGAGAATCCTGTAAAATAAAATCTCACCATCGAAAACCTTTCAAGCTTATTTATATGATAAAATCATAGAATCATTAAGTCTGGAAAGACCTCAAAGATCTTCTATTCCAACCATTAGCCATCCCAATCATGGCCACTATAGAAGTAGCTGTCTTGCTTTCCAAATTGAAAATTTTCTTGAAGTCACAATGAGGTTTTTGAACAACTTCTGCCCTTTCATTATGTAAAATTCTGAAAGAGCAATATTATCTAACAGTGTAACCGGGTAGCTTGCATTTGACTGTAATAGTGGGAAAGACAGGTTAATGCAAATTCCCATGTACTATAAAATTTTATAAGAGCTCAAGGAAAACTGAGACAGGAAATAAAATCCTATGAGTACTGAGGAGGATACAGTTACCAAGAAGAAATTCAAAATACGCAGTATAATAATTCTTACCGTGTGATATTCAGCTAAAAAATTGAAATTTTCTTACTACTATCTGTAAAACCCACAGAATTAAGTCAATCCATTTCTCTAATGGCAGGTTTCTAAAACATATTTTGAGATGCTTGACATTTTCTTTGAACTAAAAAAAAATGTTATACTGATCTAATTATAAATAATTGCGTCTGGATATTCCTTACTAACAAAAGAGGAGTTTGATGTAAAGAAACTCTGTTTTCAAAAAAGAAGAGCAAAAAGTGCCACACCAAAATATATAGCTAGCAATTATTTTTATTACTGGTGTTAAATTTAAATTATAACATTTTACTTCAAAATGTCAAAAAGAAATACTGTATCCTGAGACTATTAGTAAAGTCTCAGTAATAAGATAAACTTCTACTGCAAAATACAAAGCTTCCCAGTTTTAATCCTAATATGGATTAATGAATTGCATTAGTACATCTTTTGGGAATTTAGAAGGTCTTCTTAAGACTTTTACAACACAGTAATTACCAAATAATCATGAGTTAAATTTACAGTAGTTAATTAGCATAGCAATGAATCACAATATACTTGATTTCATATAAGGATAGTAAGAAAAATAAATGCAGTGATGCGTGTCTTCTTAATAGCTTAAACTAGAAAAGCTTTCAAAAGTAATTAAAAACTCTATTAAAAGATCTTTTTTTTCTTTTGCAAAAGATTCTTTCTTGTTTGTAGTAAGGTTTAGCACATTGTATGTGCTTCATCATGTCAAATTTGATTTCCAAACACTACTGTTTTAGACATTCACTTTAGGAAAAGATGAATCACGACATAGAAATGACTAAGTTTGTCTTCACTGACTGTTAGGGGATTCCAAGATGACCATCTTAGAGGTAGATTGCTGCACTTTAGTCACAAAGTTAGACGAAATTATTTGTCTTCCTTTTCTCTACAGTCTTATTTAGATCATAAGCTCTCCAGGCTCTGCCAAACACCTTGACTCCTCATCATTATATTAGTAAAAATAACATTATTTTCAAAAAAGAAATATTCACAACTTGCTCTAAAACTGATCAATGCCTCATACTTTTATCTTTGAATTAGGAAAAGGACAAGACTTTTGCAAAAATGTTGTTATTACCATCTGGTCATATTTTGTGAATTTTCGGCCATCCGCTTTTGGCAAAGGCTCCCATAGCTTAGGTTGCAGTGCTGAGATCATAAAAGCTTCAGAATTGTATCCCAAGTCTATCCAGTTAAATTGCCTTTTTGGAGCATCAGCAGGCTTCACAACTGACAGATGAATGTCAGTGTCTATGATAGTCAGAACCCTTTCTGTATTAAATCCTTAAGAAAGGGAATAATCAGCAATTCTGTGGTATCTTGTTTTAAGAGAAGTGCTACAGTGCATTTGAGAACCACAAATTCCAAGTGACCTCCAAGGATCCTCACCTTCTGGAGGTGACTCAAAAGAAAGAACATAGTAATAGTCATATCTGTCATATTTGCACAGATGGAAAAAAAAATAAAACAATAATTTGGAAATGCAGATTAAGCATACCTCACCAGCACAGTCAAGCAGTAGGGAGCAAATAACTCTACAAATAGCTATAGCTATTTAGAAATGCCTCTGTAGTATGAGAACTGCTGGTTGTCTTAGTAAGTAACAACAGTACATAGTTCTTCAGTTTAGAACATATAATGATCAAGACTTTCTTGCCGCTAATGTCTTTTTCCTCCTCCTTTGGATCTCTTGTACTAATTGAAATGATTGGTACAAAGCTGGAGGTAGAACCAACACACATCCCTTTATACAGGTTTTAACTAAACTTATTCAATTGCTTTACACTACTTAAAACAGTTTTCCTATCTTTGCAGAAAGGAAACCTGTCGTATCATTTAGTCCCTCTGGCTCCATGAAAGACAGTTCACACTTGACTCCTAGAGGACAGTCTGTAATAGTGCTGTATTTTGTTTCTAAATATCTGTAGGGAGTTAACTTTTACCTGAGTCTTCCATCCTCTGCTGCAGCTCCTCCTGGTATAATCTTAGTAATGAATATCCCAGGATCATCCCCAATGTGTGGGTTATCTGTTCCTCCAGCAATACTGAACCCCAGACCAGAATTTCCCTGAAAAAAAGTAAAGAGAATACATCACGAAATGCGAGATTTCTACAGAACTTATTTGCGGCGGATGAGCTAAGTATCCTATTTCGTTTAAAGAAAGCATTTTATTTGGCATCATCATACTTTCAGGTGGATGACTAAGCCAGAATAACTTGTCAGTTAAAGAGCGGAGGCTGAAAAAATAAAGAAGTCCCAGAGTTAATGGCAGAGATAATGGATGCTCCTACAGAAACGGGATTTGACCTAAATTTCTTTTCAAACAGTCACATAAATTAGCCTCTGAACTCCAACATGAATTTATCTAAGTCAATGAGAGCTAGAGGTTAAAAACACCTCAGAGCTCTAAAAAGACTTTTAAAAGGCCCTTCTTTTATAAACAGAAACAGTGAGTAATATTTGGCTCTGAAGAATTTTAGTACTTTTTTTTTTTTGGTAGAAAATAGAGAAATAGATCATTGTTCAGATTCACATGCATTTATAAAACAAAAAGAAACAACAACAACAACAAAAACAAATACCAAACAAGAACAACCAACCAAAACAAAACAAAACAGTGTTTCTTCTACTCTACTGATTTGCGACAAGGGAATGTTGGAAATATTCATTTTGAAGGTCTACTCAATAATTCTATGTACTGCTACCACCACTTATGAAATATAACGAGACATAAATAGGCATACATGCATATGCATACACTTGCACATGCAGTCACTGTTTATCACATAATTTTAACCAGCAATTCTAGCCCATTTTTGGTAATATATATTAATTATTTCATTTTTCTATGTAAATTAATATTGATAAGATATTATATATTATATATATATTGATAAGATACTTTCTTTTGTGATATAATAATAAATTCAGCGCAATATTGCACCATTTTAGCTTTCATCATGTGAATGCCTTTTTACAGTTATGTATGTAGGTTATCATAGTGTTACAATATTACTGATATTGTATAATTTTCACTGCAGTGGATGAAATATGTTCAGGACACTAAAAGTTTGCTGCTGCTGCTATTATTTTTTCCCCATTATTTCATTCAGCATCTCGGATAGTTGAAGATATTTTTCTTCACTGCTGTTACTAGGACACGTATCTGGTTCAGTCCTAATGAGAACAATAGCTAATAAAAGTAGCACCTCTCTTGTAAGAGGCAAACAAAGTAAGGAAAAGTAGCAACAACAGCTCTTACTTCTGTCTTTTGAAACTCTACTTCAATTAGAAGCTCAGGCTTGTGTGCAAAACCTCACATGTTGCCTGTATGCAAGTGTATCAAATTCTCAATTCTGTTATCAGTATTCTGCATTCACAAGCAATGCAGTTCTCATGACTCGAGAGACGTCCATGCAATCTGCAGCTCTGTTATCAGCATATAATTATGAAGACATTTTCAAAACTGATTTACAATGCAAGAAGGATTTAGAACTACACATATCTTAATGTTGCTCAGATAGCTAAATGAAGAACAGAACACTGTATATCTATAATAATACCGATATAAGAATACATAACATTATGTACATATTTTCTGTAGAGTTAATAAACATCTCCAGGCCAGCATTACAAATCTATAATTTAATATCACTTTTCATCATTAGGATCATCTCAGACTCAGGTTCTTTTCCCAGTATTTTAAAAACTACCTAATTATACCGTGCACTCAATACCAGTTTGCACTCTAAAAATATGATAAGAATATTTCCCTATGAGTTCTTCTATTATTAATGGGGATAATCTTCCAATACATAAGAATGAAAAAAATGCATACATATAAAAATTTCAGGAAACCTGGAATAAAAACCTTAAAACAATGCTAAAAAAAAATCAAGGACAACTTTCTAGAAGGTTTATTAGAATAAATAATAAAGAAAGAAAACATTAAATTAAAATTGTAGATTTTGTTTTTAAATCCAAGGAGGTTATTAAAGTATACAAGAACCTATTATTCTGAAAAGAGGTAGGTTTCCAAATCCCTGTATCAGGGGAAATAGGACAGCGAGGAGAAACGTGGATATAATTTTTAGTTGAATAGGGAATACATACAGTTATATCATAATAAAAGAGAGTGTCTGAAGAGCTTTAAAAACAATCAAAGCTTGCCTGTTATGTGGGATGTGCTTAGCTGGTACAGGTCTTCACTTCAAGTTCATTAGAATTCTTAGCAGGAAATACTTTCTGAAAAAGATTCACACTTTCTCTGCACTTTCTACTTCCTACTATACTCTTTGCCATTACTTTTTAGAGGGAAAACATGCAGTAGTACTGAATGTAAGCAGGGATGTGGTAAAACTGCTACAGACTTCTCAGGAGAATCAGTGGTAGCCCTTGACATTCATCCACAAATATGCATCTGCTATACTGCAATACTATTCTGATTCTGCCCCTTAGGAATAACTTTTTAAAAGAGGAGGGCAGCACTTCTCACTGGCATTATGTATCCAGAAAATTTCAAGCAATTATTCAGGCTGCAGTCCTTGACTTGATCAACAGGATATACAGGCTCTCACACAGTAGTTGGCTCAGCACCTAGGTATATTGCTGCAAGGCTTTTCTGCACCAGAATGTGAGTTGCTTAAGTTAAGAGCAGTTACACTTTTGGCTTCTTTCATTATAGCTCTTAAAGGGTCTGTACTGGTTCCATAGACAAATCTTTCTTTGCACTTCAGATTGTGGTCAACAAGGCTAGGAACATGGTGGCCATCACTCCCAGGTAATTGGCCTTCTAGGTGCCTTGGGTTGAAAAATATCGTAATGTGAACATTATGGTTAAAATCTATCATACTTCAGTTCTGAGTAGCAATACTGATATTCAGGTCCCTTCCTTCCCCTTATTACCCTGTCTTCTTAGTGAACAGCTTCATCAGCATATGTTTGTTATATTAGAAACTCATTGTAGTTAATGAGCTGTAACTCCAAGTATCAATTAAGTCTACTAGCATGACAGTTTCTGAATCTTTCTGCAAGTCTTATCTCCTACCCCTTACTTTTCCATCAACTCTGTCCCCATCCCAGACTTTTTTTTTCTTTTTTCTTTATCTTCACAACTTCCAAGCCTTTTATTCATGTATCTCCAGCTCCCAGCCATTTTGTGTTTCCCTTTGAAAATATCTGCAGTCATTCAGCCCCAAACAGCTGAACCGTCACTTAGCCAGAGCATTTTCCACAGTGATACATTCATGCTTTCTCTCATGGTGACTCTCATAGTTGGGAGTGGTTCCCCATAAATATCTGTCATGTTAACTCAGTGTTCTCCTTCTGCTCCAAGCATTACTTCTCCTGAATGCTTACAAAGCAAATTAACAATGAGCTCAAAGGCTCATTGATGATGCAGATGAATGGTTTAATAGTAACTAATAGCATCCGATACAGAAGAAAGAGGTATAAATCAATGGAAGTCTTTCTCGTGAGTGATATTCCACTGGAATTCCTTCACTTAGATTCACATTTAACCCTCAATGTGCTTGCCTGCTTTTTTCATAATTCTTTGATAGAGGAGTTTTACCCCCAAACACCATAACATATGTAGAGACCAAAAACATCTGACAAAGTCTCAAGCAGATATACTAACTTCAGTGACACTGCTCATACATCATCATTCATAAATACATTTTTCCAGATCCAAATCATTTTATGCTCAATTCTCACTTGACGTAAATATTCCCATTCTTTTGTTCAAATTTCCAATTACTACTACTATAAAAACCTCATGTAATTAGCTTCTGACTATACTGGAAAGACTTGCAAAAATTAGTCAGCAATAGATTTTTTTGTTTGTTTTTGTATTTTTTTTATATATTTTTTTTAATTTTCAGTTTAATTTCTCACCGACTTGCAAATCTGTGTCAGTCTCAGCCTTGCAAAAGGTGGAACAAAGTCTGACATGTCCATTTTGGCTCAAATCAATAATACTGCCTTAGTTTCTTGGCTTTTCACTCAGTTCAGCTTTCCTTCTTAAACAGAAAAACATTGATAAAACAACCTAATCAAAATAATCTCTCCCAGCCCAGCCCCAGAGGCCTCTTTCTTGTTCTCATCTGAAGGGAAAATCAATTCTTCTTAGGGTTTCCTACACAAGCCTGCTTTATTTATGCCTTTCTCATTCTGGGCTTTCCACCTCCACAAGGATCACTCAAGCTCAGCCTGAGAAAGAAAAAAGCCTGTCCACTATTCTCCTGATCCTGGAGAAGCAGACTGCCTCTGACATAGGCACAGCATCACTTCAGACTTATGCTGTACCTCCTGCCAACGATGAAAAGCGACACTTAGGGTCAGATGATGGATGATGGATGATTCACACGCCAGGGAAAAAAAAAACACAAAACTTGCATGTTCTGGCCAGTTTGAATCTCCTCCCTCAAGACTTGTTAAACTGCCAACATAAAGATCACAAAAATAAAATGAGAATCCCTAGCAGGTAATGGTTTTGGATAGCCGTTAGACCCATCTTTCTTCTTACTTAGCCTTCATCTTGAGCTCCTCTCCTTAGATACACCACTGTGAGCAGCCATATAGCTGGCTGCATCTTTATAGTTTGCAGCATTTCAATTTCATCACAGAGTAATCCTTAAACGTGCTTCACACTGACTTAGAGTTCAAATAGACTTAGGTCAACATTAAGAACGTATAAAGTTCTTTTCCCATGGCAGTACAGCTCTCCATGGATGACAGCTTTCCATGTGCTTCTGCACATGAACTCCTTCATCTGTCTCATTTTTTTCTTTTTCCTGCTTTTCACCTTACAGCAGAGTCTGATCGCAGAATATAGAAAGCCATATGATCTTTAACAAAATTGCAGAAGAATATACACCCAAGACACAGAAATTAAATGAGAAGTGTACAAAAACAGAGTTGTTTCCCATATAAGGGTCAAGTATTCTGTACTGTACAGTACTCAACTGGCATACCACAATTGTATAGAAGTTGTTTTCCATCCTTTTTTTTTTTTTTTTTAATTTTTTAATTATAATCAGTAAGATGACACAATTTTTGACACTATC